TTTAGCTAAAAAAAAAATTTCTGCTAAAACGACTAATGATATTATTTATGGTCATAGCCGGAATAAAATTAGATCTTATTATATTTAATTTTTAAAAGGAACGAGGATTACTATTTCTTAAATAAATAAACCAAGAAGTTTTTATAATAAAATTTATATATTTTTAATTCTTTCAATATTGTTATTATTTTTGAATACTACATTATAATGCCATAACAAAATAAAATTTATAGGAGATCTGAAAAGGTACTTTTACGAATAGCAATTCAACAAAAGCTATGTTAATAAATACTAATTATGTTTGATTAACAGTTTATATGCTATTTTTTCAATATCTTCTTGAGAGAATCATTATTTTCTTGTCTGAAAATAGCAGAATAGTAAGAATATCCAATAAGTGTGATTATATAATGCTTTGAATTATTTGGGCAACTCTTCCTATACATATTTGCTAGTTTCAAAATTTTGTTTGATTTTTAATCTATTTAAAGTTATCACCTTAAAATATATGGTTTACCGCGAAATACCAATTATTGTATTGTTATTACCTGAATAAGAATATGCAACTTTCGGCAATCTTTTTTATATTTGATTGAACTCTAATATGAGCCGTTTATTGAATTAGACATTTATACTCTTAAGCCTAAGATTATTATTTTAAAGACTGCTTTAATCTCAGTCCTATAGTATTCCTCACCAAAAATCATATTTTAGTTTAAAAAGAGAACTTTACAGTTAAAGTAAATAACTCCTAAGCAATATCTACCCATTTAATGTTCCAGTGTTTCTCACTATCTAAAACAAAAAATATTACAAAGTTTTTTTTAGTTCAACATTTAAGAAAACAGTATTATATCGCTTAACTTATAGATTTAATTACAGATTAATGGCGAATGCTTACATGACTAAATTAATTGAACTTTTTCGCTCTTTAATATTCCCCATTATTTTTGGAAAACATAATTGCCATCTATTTCTTTGAGATTTGTCTTCAAATATATATTTTAATAGTGATTAAACAACAACGTTATTAAGATTGCATTTTATTAATCGCTGTAAATATGCTCCAAAAGCAAAAGAGTCGTCTTATCAAAGAACAGACTTTAAGTAAATATGCAACCCATAATCTTACAATAACTCATTGTTTCAATTAAAAAAATCAGAGTCATCTATTTTGAAAGAAGTCAAAATAATGAAGTTATCAAAAGTTGATGCTTCCTCCTAATCATTGGGAGATTTTTCATAAAATATCTTTTCAAATAAAAATTCTTTTGAGATTAAATATAAAAATAGAAATATATATTATTAAAAATATTTGGATTTGAATTGTGAAATAGTAACTTAAATAACACTTTAATAAATTACCATCCAAGCCTATTAATTTTTGGTGTTCGAAAAAAATCTAATTTATGTCTAACTTTTGACTAATTAACTTGAAAATTGATTAAGAGTCCATCTATAGAAAAAGGAAAATTAGTTCAAAAAAGCGTCTAAAAATGGAATAACTTATTTGAATGAGCTAATTATTGAAATGTAATGAGAATATGCATAGGTATTGAAATAAATCAACATAGAAGATTAAAGATTCATAAATAATAAAAAACATCAAAGTCTTTTTTAAAAATTTGTATTTTGAAGTAATTTTTCTTGAAAATAATAAAAGGATTCTGCTTCTGAGAAGAAAATTTTAATACTTTTAGAATCTAAAATTGTATATTTCATATAAAGTAAAGGAATTAACTATATTAAAGAAATAGATAATCTTCAATCAAGTTTATAAAACATATGGATACATAACAATTACAATCAAGATACAGCTATTTAATTAATCTAAAAAATATATTTTATTAGTTTGATGTTATAATTAATAAAGTTTCGGTCTATTATTATAGGAACATCTTCACTCTGCAATCAACCTTTAATTACTTGAGAAGTCTTAGTTCTAATCATTGGATTACATATATATTTAAGGATTAAGATGATAATTAGTTTTTAATATTTCCCTATTTATTTAATTTGAAAGTTAAGTAATCTGCTTAAATCTGATTCATTTCTTCTATATCTCTGTCTATTTCTTAATTTGATGATTGGAAATATTTAGACAATATTTTTGATGTCCAATTGGCTGAGAAACATGAGATAAGTATGATCGTTGGTCATAATATTATAAGGTAGGAACTTTTCTTACCTAATCTATTTATAAAAATATTTAACTTTATTGAAAATATTAAACAATATAAAATACTTCATTTAGGATAATACTTGCTAATCAAGACAATTTATTTATTAATAGCAAATAATTTCTTTGATTTCCCCCATCCATTAACCTAATTTCGAGGTATTTGAATCCTTCAACTCGGCCAATTCTTAGACCATCTAAATCCTCATTTACCTTATTTGCGAGATATTTTGCTTATTCGAAGGTAATTTTAATTATGTACTTCAGCCTTATTCAAAGTAAGATAAAAAACACTTAAATATGATGTATTATTGTTTAAAGTCACGGGTTAATTATGTGAGATGTACTATTATTTTGAAAATATAAACTTCCATAAGATCTCTGTTTGTTTTTAACAATACCATAAAAAATAATCTGTTTATTTTTAACAATTTTCTTATACATATCAATTGAAATGAAATTAGATATTAAATATTATTTCAAACTCAATCTTTGAATATCAATATTTTTCAATCCTTTTTTTTAAAATCTCATCTATTTCTTAGATCACTATAAACTTATAATGCATGAATTGGAGTAAAAATAATCTCAAAATTTCTTAAATGTCCTTTATCTTATTAGTTGATAATTATGAATATTGTTAAATTTCATATAATTAGGTATGAGAATTCTAGGTCATTATTAAATGAGAGTTTACATTGCATTTTTCTATTCCTTACATTTCTATGGTTTCTGACAAGACAAAAAGAAAGCATTTTTGTTCAACAGAGTTTTCTCATCCTAAATCAATTTTGGCTATATGGTTAAGGGTTGAAAATAGGTTTGTTTCAAAGCTATCCCTTAAGGCTACATAGTTCCTTTTTGAGCATAACCTCTAATAAGATATTCTTCATATATTAAAAAAAACATGTTTATACATTTCTTTGAATCTGCTTGATTAAAGAAGTATAAAAGGAAAAGATTTTTAATAAAAATTTTCTATTATTTTTTAATATAAATATTGATTAATTGTCAATAAATTTTAGTAATTTAATTAAATGTTTAAACGAAAAATGATAGAAAATGAAAAAGATTTTTCATGTTCTTAAGGACATAAGCTACCTGTCGTTACTATTGCACTTGATCCAACTTTATCAATGAATTAAAGATTCTTATGTACAGAATGTTTAGAGAATACAGACTTAGATGGAAGAGTAGTTGGATTAAAGAAAATGATTTCACGAATTGAAGAAGGTTNTTGAAGTAATTTTTCTTGAAAATAATAAAAGGATTCTGCTTCTGAGAAGAAAATTTTAATACTTTTAGAATCTAAAATTGTATATTTCATATAAAGTAAAGGAATTAACTATATTAAAGAAATAGATAATCTTCAATCAAGTTTATAAAACATATGGATACATAACAATTACAATCAAGATACAGCTATTTAATTAATCTAAAAAATATATTTTATTAGTTTGATGTTATAATTAATAAAGTTTCGGTCTATTATTATAGGAACATCTTCACTCTGCAATCAACCTTTAATTACTTGAGAAGTCTTAGTTCTAATCATTGGATTACATATATATTTAAGGATTAAGATGATAATTAGTTTTTAATATTTCCCTATTTATTTAATTTGAAAGTTAAGTAATCTGCTTAAATCTGATTCATTTCTTCTATATCTCTGTCTATTTCTTAATTTGATGATTGGAAATATTTAGACAATATTTTTGATGTCCAATTGGCTGAGAAACATGAGATAAGTATGATCGTTGGTCATAATATTATAAGGTAGGAACTTTTCTTACCTAATCTATTTATAAAAATATTTAACTTTATTGAAAATATTAAACAATATAAAATACTTCATTTAGGATAATACTTGCTAATCAAGACAATTTATTTATTAATAGCAAATAATTTCTTTGATTTCCCCCATCCATTAACCTAATTTCGAGGTATTTGAATCCTTCAACTCGGCCAATTCTTAGACCATCTAAATCCTCATTTACCTTATTTGCGAGATATTTTGCTTATTCGAAGGTAATTTTAATTATGTACTTCAGCCTTATTCAAAGTAAGATAAAAAACACTTAAATATGATGTATTATTGTTTAAAGTCACGGGTTAATTATGTGAGATGTACTATTATTTTGAAAATATAAACTTCCATAAGATCTCTGTTTGTTTTTAACAATACCATAAAAAATAATCTGTTTATTTTTAACAATTTTCTTATACATATCAATTGAAATGAAATTAGATATTAAATATTATTTCAAACTCAATCTTTGAATATCAATATTTTTCAATCCTTTTTTTTAAAATCTCATCTATTTCTTAGATCACTATAAACTTATAATGCATGAATTGGAGTAAAAATAATCTCAAAATTTCTTAAATGTCCTTTATCTTATTAGTTGATAATTATGAATATTGTTAAATTTCATATAATTAGGTATGAGAATTCTAGGTCATTATTAAATGAGAGTTTACATTGCATTTTTCTATTCCTTACATTTCTATGGTTTCTGACAAGACAAAAAGAAAGCATTTTTGTTCAACAGAGTTTTCTCATCCTAAATCAATTTTGGCTATATGGTTAAGGGTTGAAAATAGGTTTGTTTCAAAGCTATCCCTTAAGGCTACATAGTTCCTTTTTGAGCATAACCTCTAATAAGATATTCTTCATATATTAAAAAAAACATGTTTATACATTTCTTTGAATCTGCTTGATTAAAGAAGTATAAAAGGAAAAGATTTTTAATAAAAATTTTCTATTATTTTTTAATATAAATATTGATTAATTGTCAATAAATTTTAGTAATTTAATTAAATGTTTAAACGAAAAATGATAGAAAATGAAAAAGATTTTTCATGTTCTTAAGGACATAAGTTACCTGTCGTTACTATTGCACTTGATCCAAATTTATCAATGAATTAAAGACTCTTATGTACAGAATGTTTAGAGAATACAGACTTAGATGCAAAAGTAGTAGGATTAAAGAAACTTATTTCAATAATTGAAGAAGGTTAGATAAAAAAGATGGAAAAAGTAGAATATTTAATAACCAGCTAAATAAAATTAATTGAATAATTATATAGTCTAGTAGATCAAATGAAATCACTTGTGATCTAATAATTTGATTAATCAATTACTATATTGAAAGATTGGATTTAAAACCTATAATAAAAAGGATTATAATAATATCGTTATAGCTTTTAAGAGGAATTATAAATTATGCTGTAATAATAAAATAAAGCTGATGATAAATTGTAATTATTAATTCATGATATTGAAAAAATAAATCATTGTTGGACTTCCAAACTACATCCTAAATTAAAATAATTTAATACATTAAAAGAATATACAAAATGTGAAGAGCTATTATCAGATTTAAAATTATCTTCTTAGAAATTTGCTCTAAGGTAATAATAGGAATAAACAAATATAGGTTTTCAATAATAACTTAAATGTGAGATAAAATTAAAATTAATTGATTAATCTGTCAAATAAAAAAGAATAATGTAATATAATAGTTTTTGATGCTTCTGGGTCAATTATGGTATCAAGCGAAAAGTATGATATTAAAGTATGGAGTTTTCTAAATGGAACAATCAAATTAGTAAAAACATTATAAGGACATACTGATTGGGTTTAATGTTTAGTTTATAGTAAAAAATAGAATTCGTTTATTTCTTGTTCTTTAGACAATACAATTAGATGTTGGCAATAATTGAACTAAAATGAATGGATTAGTTCATAATCATATTAAAAACATACAGATTATGTTGCCTGTATTATATTAAATTAAAATGAGGATTTACTATTCTCTGGAAGTGATGACAAATCAATCAAAGTTTGGAAGCTTGACTTTATTCAAAATTAATTAACATTTCTGTATACATTAGATAAACATAATAATTATGTTGTTTCTTTAAGTTTGAATTAATCAGAAAATTAATTAGTATAATGTGAAGAAGATTCAAATTAAATTATTATTTGGGAAAGGAGAGAAAATGATCAGTTTAAATTCAAACATTTTGTTAAATAATCGATTTAAGAAAAAGGATATAAGGTTAAATTTATTAAAGATGATTAATTTATTTGGATAACCGGTGGTAAAAAAATAGATAAACTCTATTTTTTTGAATGTTAATAAGGAATCTTTTAAGAAAATAATGACAAAACTATTTAATTAATTAAAAATGATCAAATTGTTGATGAATATCGTTTTCCAATTATTTATAACAAAGAGAGGAGTTTTATATTAGTAAAGCATAAGACATATATTTATATCATCAGAGAAATTAATGATGGCAAGTACAAAATTTCTGATTAATTGAATTGTGAAACAATTTATACATACGGAACTATCACAAATAATGGGTAATATTTGGTATATTGGGATGAAAAAAAGTAAGGATATTCAACATATGAATTTTTAAATTAATGAAAAATGATTGATTTTTAATATTTTTATTTTACTTCTTCTCAAACATCAAGCGCATAAAAAACTGTTAAGTTTATAAAAATTTTTGAATTTAACTTTTACCCAGAATTAGGGCTTCTAATTTAAATTAAAATCCACACAGAAAACTTCAAACTTTATAATGGAAATTCAAGTAATTCCTTTAAATTTATTTTCATATGTACTTCAGATGCCTTATACAAGCACAGGCATCCCTTCTTGTAACAGAAAGGAGGTTTTAGCAATGTCACAGAATGAATTCTGGATGAAGCTAACTTCACGGTCAAATTATTAAAAGCAGTCGATTTTCAAAAGTTATTTTTGCAAAGATTAAAATAATCAAATTTTTTTTTAAGGATAGTTATGTTTATTTAAACCGATCAATGCTGAAAAGCATCAATTATTCTTTGTCTACTTCTAAGAACAGTTCTTCTAATTGCTTTGAATAATAATCTTTAATATCAAGTTTCTCTTTGTATTGAAAGATATATAGTAAATTAAAGGTAAGCTGAAATACATAACCGATTAATCTATTCCAACTTATTGAAGCAAAATTTAAAAAAAATGTGCTTCTTTTTTTCCAATAAGTATCCTTATGTAATTCTTCTTTAACTCTCAGAACTTCTCAACTCCATTCTAGTTGCAGAGACATCTAAATTTTGTATGGTTTATAGCCAATCTCATTTCATATCCATCTCCTAAAATTATCATTCAACTATTCTTAAACTACTCATTAATTCGCAACATATAGTTAAATTATTGATTAACTTCAACAACCCTACCCTTGTAAATTTTTTCTGAATAATTGTAAATGTTAAACAAATTTCATTTCACTCCACATTCAGCAGCAGTATCCAAGAAAGCTAGTTATAATGTAACTCACAAATTCTTCAAATAGCAATTTTAGAGATTCAAATTTTTATTATAATAAAATCCATCAATAATCAACCAATTATACACAGTATTCACAGTCTTGAGATCTCTTTAATTTTCTTTCATTTTATCTTGTTGCTCATTCAATATTTCTAAGTATTAAACTTTCTCTGTATCAAGATTCTTGAAAATAATAAAACTAGATAGATGAAGAGGGTACAGATAATAAAAGGAAAGGAGGTTTACCTTATATAAAATAAGAAGAATTCTGAATGGTAATTATTTAGAGCTGTTTAAACATGGTATAAAGGAAGATTAAATCTGCTATTATCAAATTAATTGCTAAAATATTGTGGATTACCTATGGAGCTTCCTGAAGATGGGTTTGAAAATTCTACATAATTCTCTTTTATATATGAAGAATATAGCTTATAAATAAAATCACAAATTTATAAAATGAAAACTAACACATAAGTTTGTGAAGGGGATGATGATTCAAACTGATAGCCAAGCAATAGGCAAAGGAACAAAAACTGGTTTTCTTCGACTTTATAAATCTATAAAATAGTAAATATAGAGTCTATAATTTTGAGCAAGTACTTAACAACAGATTGATCAAGTCAACTTTAATTTGATGATTATAGTAGTTAAAATTAATAAATCACAACTAATTAAGGTTGTCTTTTTGGAATAAAGAGATTAATTAAGTTCAAAAATTATTGCCCAGACTGAAAAAGAAACTTTAACATTCCATGAAAATTAGTAGGAAAGTATTATATTTTGCGGTTCTGAAGTAATTTGAGTTTCTTTGACTAACAATATGCACCTTAAATTAGTGAATGATCTAGAAAGTTTTAATGGTAAATTTTCCTCAGCTCAAATATTAACTGCTTATGCATAAATCTTTTAATAATTGAATTCAGCATCTAAGAATGCTTAAAAGAACAAATTGGATAATACAGCTCAAAAGTGTTTAAAGTTTTTAGAAATTCATGAAAATACTTCTATAAATGTTATTTGGATGGGCAAAATAAAATACTAGCAAATTGAAAGAGGGTTACTAATATTGTAGAATTTCTAAAATAGTAGAACTGATTTATCTTTCTATTTTCGTTAATTGTTTTTATAATAGGGAAGCGTTCAATAATGGAAATGAAAAATTCAAAAAGCGATCAAGAAGTGTATAAATGACAAAAAGAAGCTTTGAAAATTTTTTCTTGCCAATTAAGTTTCGATTCCTTTTAAATATAAGAATAACAAATTAATGCTATATTGTCATTACTTCGAAATATTCCTTATATATCATGAATTCAAAATTCAGTTAAAGTCATCCTTTTTTTATCATCCATGTCCATTCATAAATTTTTATATTTAATCACCTCCTTAAATAAAATTGCAATAGATATCACCAGAAAATAATTATCAACTCTGAAAACTCCCTTCCTATTTGCTTCTAGCAACTTCATTCACAATTTCTCATTAGATAAGTAATTTTTCTTCATTCGCTGAAAAAATGCGCTCAATATAGTAGATANTATTACTACAAACATAATTTAATGTTAACTAAAGTGAAAATTATGAAGTAAATAAAGGATAAATTGAACTTTAATAAAATAATTTAAAAAAAACTATAAGACTTCTAGAAAAAATTACAAAAGAAAAAGTTTGTTTTAGACAGTATCAAGATTCTTGAAAATAATAAAACTAGATAGATGAAGAGGGTACAGATAATAAAAGGAAAGGAGGTTTACCTTATATAAAATAAGAAGAATTCTGAATGGTAATTATTTAGAGCTGTTTAAACATGGTATAAAGGAAGATTAAATCTGCTATTATCAAATTAATTGCTAAAATATTGTGGATTACCTATGGAGCTTCCTGAAGATGGGTTTGAAAATTCTACATAATTCTCTTTTATATATGAAGAATATAGCTTATAAATAAAATCACAAATTTATAAAATGAAAACTAACACATAAGTTTGTGAAGGGGATGATGATTCAAACTGATAGCCAAGCAATAGGCAAAGGAACAAAAACTGGTTTTCTTCGACTTTATAAATCTATAAAATAGTAAATATAGAGTCTATAATTTTGAGCAAGTACTTAACAACAGATTGATCAAGTCAACTTTAATTTGATGATTATAGTAGTTAAAATTAATAAATCACAACTAATTAAGGTTGTCTTTTTGGAATAAAGAGATTAATTAAGTTCAAAAATTATTGCCCAGACTGAAAAAGAAACTTTAACATTCCATGAAAATTAGTAGGAAAGTATTATATTTTGCGGTTCTGAAGTAATTTGAGTTTCTTTGACTAACAATATGCACCTTAAATTAGTGAATGATCTAGAAAGTTTTAATGGTAAATTTTCCTCAGCTCAAATATTAACTGCTTATGCATAAATCTTTTAATAATTGAATTCAGCATCTAAGAATGCTTAAAAGAACAAATTGGATAATACAGCTCAAAAGTGTTTAAAGTTTTTAGAAATTCATGAAAATACTTCTATAAATGTTATTTGGATGGGCAAAATAAAATACTAGCAAATTGAAAGAGGGTTACTAATATTGTAGAATTTCTAAAATAGTAGAACTGATTTATCTTTCTATTTTCGTTAATTGTTTTTATAATAGGGAAGCGTTCAATAATGGAAATGAAAAATTCAAAAAGCGATCAAGAAGTGTATAAATGACAAAAAGAAGCTTTGAAAATTTTTTCTTGCCAATTAAGTTTCGATTCCTTTTAAATATAAGAATAACAAATTAATGCTATATTGTCATTACTTCGAAATATTCCTTATATATCATGAATTCAAAATTCAGTTAAAGTCATCCTTTTTTTATCATCCATGTCCATTCATAAATTTTTATATTTAATCACCTCCTTAAATAAAATTGCAATAGATATCACCAGAAAATAATTATCAACTCTGAAAACTCCCTTCCTATTTGCTTCTAGCAACTTCATTCACAATTTCTCATTAGATAAGTAATTTTTCTTCATTCGCTGAAAAAATGCGCTCAATATAGTAGATATATATCCCAAATTATTTCATCCTTAAATAATGACATCGCACTCATGAATCATTTGGCTCCATGTAAAATAGCCTCCAACTTGATCTCCATTGATTATTATTACTTTAAAAGTCTGACTATAAATTTTAATAATTTTTGATTTATTTATTTCAACATTGTTCTTTCCTTTAATTCGGCTTTAAATTGGAGACATGTTAAGATTTTTAAGTGTCCTTGTTTTTAATTCTTCTAAAGGAAATAATTTTACTCCCAATTATTAATGCCACTGAAAACTCTTTTAGAATTCAAAGCTGTAAGTTTTTAATATTGAATGTCAGCCTTCATAAATTAGTTAATGTAAAATTTTGATCTAAATCTATTCTTAAATTTCTGATTAAAATATAAGTTTCATTTCGTCATCCAAATTATATAAATTTAACTTGACAACTACTATCAAATTGAATAATTCTCCTTTTTCCTTACTTTATTCTGACTCTGCTTAATAGATATTTACTATTGATTAATATTAAAGAGGTTGAACTGATTTATTTCGAAAAAACTCATAAAACAGATTTTTCGTTGTTAAACTAATGTTAAATTTTTCAATTATCATCTATTCAACATTTATATAATTAAAATTAAATTATAAGAATTAAATAATGAAAATTAGAAAATTATTCAATTTATAGATGTTTTAGTTCACTTCTAATTAAATATAATATATTTTAATTATATTCAAAACTTTGACCTATTTTTTTTTTATTTTACTCACGTAAATAATGGACTGTTTAAAATAAATGACTTTCTTATGCACCTCAACTTAAATAATAATAATAATTCTGAAAAGATCAAGATTAATTCTAGAATTATGCCTGTAGATAGTAAGATTGCTTGAATCCATCCCAATATAATTTTTTTCTCTTGAGTAAAATATTCATTAAACTCCTCAATATATAAGAATGAACTAAGCATAAAAATGATTACTGATATCTCAACTACCATCTATACAATGTAATTCTTCTAATTAGATGCAAAATGATATTTGTAAAGGAATGTCGTTTATATTAAGCAAGTTAAAAGGAGTAACCCCAATTAAAGTATTTGTGAACTTTAAACATAAATCAAAAATACTAAAAAGAAAAATTATCTAGCAAAACTTAGAATTTCGAATCTTTTTTTGTTGTTCACTTATGATAATTGTTAATTGCTATTTAAAAAATTTAATAATATGTTAAAATAAAGTAGAAGGATTATACTTACTATAACAAGTTATACAATATCTAAGTAATTCTTGGTTTTGATGTTTCGTGTATATAAAAGTATTTTAAATATCATATCCCAACCATTGAGGAGTAAGGCTTTTTATAATCCTTCAAAAGACATAAGTTCCTCCAATTTAAGTAAATCCAGGCAAATATTATAAAAGTATTTACTAAATTTCAAAATAATTTTTGGATTTACATATAAAGATAGCAATGACATATAATAAAAGAACCGAGAACAAAATATCTATCTGTACAACACCCTTTTAACCCATTTAATCAACAAAATTAGCAATAAAAATATTAAGCATTAAAATATTTGGCACGAAAGATTGATGATCAAGTTTGAATTTTATTTGTAATCACGAAATTTTCCATCAGTATATTCCTAATTTGACTAAATATCAATAAATTGTAAAAATTGAGGAAATTACATAAAATCCAATAGAGGTTGAACAGTTATCGTATCATTAATAGAAAAAAATATTTCTAAATTTTGAGGAAATTATAAATTGATGTATCTTAAGTATTACTAAAATTAAAGGATTGCCAATATCTCAACAAATAAATCCCCACTCCCTAATAAAAAACTGATAATGGTAATTCCTGACAGACTATAAATCAGGTATTTATTAAGACTTTTCAAACTTTAAGAGTAATCCTTCTGTGTTTCATCCAGATAATTTGGAAATTGCAATGTTATTTATTTTTCAAAATCCTCCAAAATAGCATTATCTATATTAACAACTTATTGATTTACTAAAATTTTCAATTGTGGTCTAAATTTTAGTAATTTGTACACTTCTATTTCTACAACATATTCTCCAAAGCTCAAATATGATCCAACATCCTAAATGATGTATAAGCTGCTATTCCAGTACTTTTTTTCTATATCTGATAATTCAAAATTTAAGGTTTCTGACAATGGTTAAGGCGTATATATTTTTACTTATTAATTAAATTAGATGCCTATATATTATTTATTTTAAGTCATATTAAGATAATTAACAACTAAGATTGGAGCTTTGACAAATGTACATTAGCTAGGAGAATCTGTTGTAATTGTGATGCAAACCCAATTTTATTCAATAAAACAATCCTTGCATCCATCGGCTGCATAACTATTACCATCATCACACTCCTCTTCTTCCTAAATCAATCCATCTCCGCAATTTAATTATTATTTGCATTAATTTGAAATTAGTAATTAGTATTAATCATTGCACTCTAAACAAGTACCTTGATAACAATCGAAACAATTTTCTGGACAAGAATACTTACACTAAAAACAACCATCAAATTTTATTGGATTGCCATCATCACAATCTTCTTCTTTTGTAATAATTTAATCACCACAAATAGAGTGACAGTTGTTATTAACAAACTCATAACCATCTCCACATTTTAAAATGCACTACCCTCGATCACATATGTTGCAATCTTCAATGCATTAAAACTTACATTAATAACAACCATCATAAGGTTGAAGATTTCCATCATCACAATCCTCGTATTATTACAGAACTAATTTGTCTCCACAATAAGGATAACATGAATTTTCTAACAATTAATATCCTACTTCACACTCTAAGCAAATTGAAATATAGTTTATCTTACAATTAGCTATTGAAATAAATTTGCAATCAAGACAACCATCCCATACACCATTAACAGTCAGTTCACATAATTCAACTGAATATGGGGTCAAATTGCCATCTCCACACAGAGGATCACAACTAAAATTGGCATTAATTATAAATCCGTCTATACATTATAAAAAAATTCCAAATGAACAAATTTAACAATATTCAATACAAGAATATTTGCACTGATAACAAGAATGATTTGATACTAGAGTATCACATTATTCTTAACCTTGAATTATTCCATCTCCACAAATTGGATGACAATTTTCTAGAAATTCATCTTAAATCCAACCTTCTTGACAAAGTAGACATTTATCATCTATTTATTCTAAACAACCTTTATTTAAATTAAAAAAAATTATTTCTGGCTAAGTATAATACACTTCAAAATCTCTCATTACACTGTTTTCTCCACCATAAATAGTCAGTTATAATATTGGATCATAATGATTTTTTATTAATATTTCTATTAAATATTTAAACATAATATTTTTTTGACCAAATACATAGTCTACAAATAGAAAATTTGCATTCAATTAAAAAAACCGTATCAATATATCTTAATGAGGAGGGAGTTAAGTTTAATAAGTAATTTACTAAAATTTCACAACTTCACAAAGCCCACATTAACTATTTATTAGAAAAGAACCTGCCTAAAAAGTCCATCCTTCAGAAGATGTGATCTACTTCTAATTAAATGAATATTAGTGCAGTTTCCATTATAAGCAAATTGATGGAAAATTCTCAATGCATGCATAGCATTGATACTAACATTTAATTATACTAAATTTTAATGATATTAATCCTCCTTAATTATAAATAATCCTCATCCAAATAGTTCTCCTATTATGTTAACGAACAATAGAAATAGTATGCAAATATTCAGGCTCTGAATCAAAACATATCAAACCTTATGATGAAATCATTTACTCAGAATCTGATATTTGCTAGTCTATATATAAAGATGGTGGAATATTGTTATCAATACTTTTGTAATTAAGAGCAATAAATACCTTAGAAATTGTGCCTCCACTAATATATGAGAATGAGTCTCTAGGTCTAAAAATATTCTGCTAATTTAAGAATTGCCATTAGGAGACCCAAAATATTGAATCCCTCCACAAGTATCAAAATTAGAACTACCTTCCCATCCTAGAATAAAAATACAAAATTACCATCCTTTGTGTTAGAATTAACATTAAACTCATAAATCACAGTTTGATGAGTTGTGCAGAATATTATAATGAGTATTATCATTATTAATACATATTTTTCAGCTTATAAAATGATTATTATGCGACAAAGTAAATCAATTAATGAATTAAAATATACAACGAATTTAAATCATTATTTTAATTAAATTAGCAATATTTTAATCAGTGCTATGAAGTAACTATTATTTATCAATTCCATAGTGTTTTTTATAAGATAATTCATCTTACAGGTTATTCAACTTCCGCTATTCCTTTAAGATTATTTTGATGTGTAATTTAATCTTCATATAATTACTCCAAAAAAATAGTCTAAATTACATTAAAATTTAGTGACTTGTTCCCAATAATGAAAATTCAAAATTATTGATTTGAAAATGGATTTTTTCCTTGCATATGAAAACTTTTAATCTTTTCAAATTTAATACGATATTAATTTAAAATTAACAACAACTTATTGAGTTTTATCTGGTTAAATGGTACCCATTATTTATAAACCATAATCTTAAGTGAACTAACTCTTGGTAATTTTTATTATGCGTTGTTATCATTAGTTTTTGTAATCTTATAGGTCATAATAAATATATTGTCTTTCTTAAAATTTACCTCCAATGATAATTCTAATTTTTGTTAAATTTTGAGAATACAGTCTCTAAATCGATGTGACTATCATCTTTTTTTTGGCAGATAAATACACCATCAGTGTACAGTCTAAATACTTGTTTATTTTATTGAATTAATTTCACTAAAGACAGATGGACCACTTTGAGCATAGCTTGATATTTTTTGGATTCTCTTGATGTTTTGGACTATTATATATACTATATTTGTCATTAGCACTTATTGCTAAGGTTTCAAAAGGATTTTATTCCAAAAGCTGTTATATTGATTTAAGGGGTGCTGTCAAACTCCTTATTGGATCTCATCATACAAATATGATAGTTCTGAAAAATAATATTTGGTATTAATTATAGCAATTTTTAATGGAGGCACTTAAATATTTAATTGCATTATGAAATTTTTTAGATTAAAATCTGAAAAATTGGATTTTTATATTATTGCTAATAATTAATCGTTTATTTTCACATAAGTATTGATGCTTGCCCTTTCCTACAATAATGAATCTCATACTGGCACATTTTTCTCAAATAAAATAAGCAACTTTGCAATTTATGCTTGTATTGAGCTAACATAGTGACCATATATTATTGTAACTGATGGAATATGATCACAACTGACTTGAATAATAGTTCAGTTTTCATAGTTGCAAGGCTTGCTTAACATAATTCTAGCATGTTATAACATTCTCCATATCAATTTTTTCATTTAACCAGATATGCAACTACCTTTAGAGAATTCTACTTCCTGTACTTTATAAGAAGTTTATCAAAATTTGATTCACAGTGTTGAATTGGATGATGTTCTAAGCTTTGAACTTATAGATCTTGAGCCCTAATGCAACTTTAATGTGAAGGAAATTATTTCTTGTGCTTCCTGTCTTGGAATAAAAGTAGAAAATGCATGAAGTGATGGTTGCCCTTATGTAGCTTTTATCAAATGATGCATTTGTTTGATTACCTTGCATACATTGACTTTGGTGCGGCTACTATTATCCAATATATTCTATCTTTATATGATATTTGCTTTAAATTTATAACATCCAAAGCATTGATATTAATGAGATCCAAAATGTTTCCCCAATTCACTTTCTATTCAATTCAGTAATTAGGTTACATCTGTTTAATTACAACTTAGCCCTTAACGATTACTTGTTATTCCATTTGTAATAGTTAAAAAGATTTCTGCCATTAACTTCATTAATGGTTATGATACAGTTTTTAATTTACTACCTTTCACATGTTGTGACTGTATTGATCATTGTAAAACAGCAAAGCTCGTAAGTAGATGATGTTGATACTTCAATTGCGCTTAATCATCCCTTTTTGGAAATATTAACAGTGTTATATTCTTGCTGTATAATTTGTTAGTTTTAATTCCTTTTGCACCAAATTTAGTATGTCTAATTATATGATAAAGCACTACCTCGACTAAGCCTCATTTACATTATATGTGAAATCTTCAACTACAAGTTCGTTATTAACTTTGTTAATAATTACTTAATATGGACAAATATAGTTAGGTCCATAAATTTTATATCTGGGTTAAAATGTGGTAAATATAAAAGTTACTTGTATATCAACTATGTAACTAACAAACATAATTAAGTTGAATTATTGTTTTCCTCTAATATAGAGCAGCTTCTGTACCTTGTTTTTTACATTTGTTGCGACTTTTAATTCCAACATGTAAATGTTAAGTTATATTCATATCATCCAAGAATGGATAACCTGTACTGTACAAAGATCCATGTAATCAAAATGTTCAATTGTAATACACTTTGCTATGGAAGCAATATCCAAGAAATGCAATAATGTATATTAATTTGAAATCAAATTAGGTTACGGTAAATCTCAGTGAAGTTGAGCTTAAAAAGCTTAGAAAATTTGGCGATTTATAGTTATACTTATCGCAATACACAACGAGGAAGCCTAATAGTATACTCCTAAACGATCAATTACTAAGTTTTTATGCGGTAAATAGGGGGATTGAATTGAGTATCTCAATTTATTTATCCCTAACAAGCATTGGCTAGCTAATAATTTACATGTTTATT